GACTCCCTGTAGTACCAAATCAACTCCGTCTTGAACCAGAATGGCCTCCATCTTGAGTTGCCACAAGCCGAAGTTGACATTTCTATCGAATTTCTCGACAACAATCTTTGTTATTGTCATCGTTGCCAAAAGATCCCAGAACCAGGCTCTGATACCAGTTTGTTAGAGCTAGCCCCAGGAAATTTACCACAAGATAATTTTGGCAACCTAACAAGACAATAAAACGGAAAGAATAAAAGCAAGATAAGAACACCAGAATACCAGATATACGTGGTTCGGTCAATTGACTTTGACCACATCCACGGACGAAAGAGGAGCAAATTACTACTGCAAAAGAGGGACAATTACAAATGCCTTAGGAAGATGTTCCTAGGCCATAAAACACTCAAAAATACTAAACAAGAAAAACCAAACTATAAATCTAAACTATTTAAATGAGTATGAACTTAAACCAAAGCAAACACTTATGTTTTTCAGCCCAGGCCCTTATTTATAGTTCCAAGACGAGACAACAAGTCTGATTTTCTCGATGTGGGACTATAGGATTTGCCAAACTAATAGACATGCTGGTGTTCAATTTAATGATAGTAGACAATAAAATTTGAGCTGAAAACGTACATAAAGATGAAGCTCACAAATGTTGATTGAATATATTTGCGGCGCATCTTATGTTCTGTTCCCCTTATTTTTAACTAACTTATTCCTCCTTTAGCAGTATCTTTATGTTTTCCATTACTTTTTTTTCTGGTGAATACATTAATAAAGGGGGTTACTGTCCTTTTTCCATACTTTAGCCAAGGATCCTCAAAATTCACCAGTATGATGATTCCACCTTCCTATTACTTGCAAGTATGACACTCAAAACCAAGGCAAACAAGTCACTAACAAAACAAGAGTCAACGGCTCATCAAAATTTTTGCAATAAATAATTTTGTGTATGCTATTAATTTGCACATACTAAAAGTTAACGGGCTAGCATTATTAAAGGAAAAAGATTCTACGAGTGACCTCAGTGAACATATCAAATCTCTCAGCTTAAACAACAAAAGAATTCTATACTCAATCCCCTGTTCTATCTGCAGGTTGGTCTAAAAGAAAGGAAAAGGATAAAAAATAGAAACTTTTTAAAGGGCATACACAAATAAAAAGAGGGAGAGCCATAACAATTTATCATTATCCAAAATCAGCAATCGTTAATAGACTGATAAAAGAACGAGGCAAAGGGCGTGAGGCTGCATAACCTTTCATGGTGTGCTATAAATCCTGATGCTTCTTGGCCGAAGAGAGCGCCGGCAATCATCTCCAAGAGGCACCGGTGAGACTCCGTCAGCGATTCGGCCCTCGTTGTCTCCATCTCGACCCAATCCCTAGCTTTCCTCCCGAAGTAATTAATGCTCCTCGTGGTGGTGTATCATCCTTCTCGTCGGTGGATGACACGGCGGAAGGCGTTGGCGAGGCCCGGACCGAGACGGAGAGGGCCCCCACTCCATGCGGTCCATCCGGTTAAAGAATGGCCAGGACGCAATCGGAACGGTAGTGCTTACGGAGCTTCCCGACCTCGCGGCGGCGAGGGGTGCCGGTCTTGCAGGGGTCGATATGGTTTTTTAATTAGACCGGCCTGGTTTGATTTGTCTGTACTGGACCGCTCCGATTTCAATTGTGTAACAGGTCAACCGCGTCAACGGTGGCTGTCGTCAAGGGACACCACAGGCCGAAGCATGCTTTTCCACCGGTGCGACGACGGCATGCTCTGATAACCGTCTTTATTCCACCTCGATTTCCTTGAGACGGACAAAGTCCAGGCTAAACTTCATTCTTTAGGATTACCAAGCATTCCATAAATCCCTCGTAACCATATTCTGAATCCACACTAAAGGAGAGCCAAGAGGTTGACATTTCTATTTCGTGTTTCATATTTGTTTTGGTTGCCCTTTTTTTCTGAAAGAAAAGTCTTCTTTTAGGTCAGTGGCCACTAGTGAGCCACAAGATAGGGTTTGTCTTTCTTGTTGGCAGTAGCGATTCTGTTCAATGGCTACCTGGTATTATTCTTGTTCTGTCCCTTTCTTTACTTTCGTTTTCCGTAATGAGATAGAGAAGCTGTCACTTGTAATGTATGTTTGGAACTGCAGAAAATGTGCTACTACACCATCAGTATGCAGTCAGTCAATCAATATTGGGATGGTTGAATTTTCAACGTTTGCTAAGCATTTTTTCCAAACAACCATACAGTATCCTTGCGAACAATTTGGGACAGCCTAAAGGATACTGAACGTGTACTGCGGGATTGCTTGTTCTCTTCTTCTTTGAGGTTCTTTCTTCTCTTTTAGCAGATCTTGATTAATCATCCCATGGCTTCTTAAAGAGATATTCGAAGTGGATTTTGGTGACTTGTGAGCTATTTTATGATTCTTATCTTTTAAAGCGAGCTGGGTCACCAAGAGAGACGATGAGATACTTCATGTTACTGGTTTTATTGGCATCATCAGCAATTCTAGTTGATTGTCGGCGTGGTATGCTTGCTGCCAATTTTCTTCTCTTCCTTATTTTTCGTATATATTATGAAATAACAGTTATTAGTGTGCAAGGATATTCTTTTGGATCAGTGGAGTTATATTGATATCACTGTACTACGACTGTCTTATATCTTTTGGTACTTGATAAAATGAACATGGTGTGTCCTCTGCCTTTCAAAAGCTTAATCCAATAATTTGCCATCATTTGGTTTGATGCAGAAGTGAGCATTGATTGTGGATTTTCTGGTGATGATGCATACTATGACGACAGGACGTCCAAAATCTATGCTCCTGATGCAGAGTACATAGACACTGGTGCAAACCATGAAATTGATGAATCCTACGTCACAGGTCAGCCAGTGCAGGCTCAAAACCTTCGTAGTTTTCCTGATGGTGTTCGTAATTGTTATACCATAAATGATGTGACTCAAGGTGACAAGTACCTCATAAGAGCTTCCTTTCTGTATGGATGCTATGATGGTGGTCAACAGATGAGACATGGCCGCAGTCTCACATTTGATCTCTATTTTGGTGTTAATTTTTGGCAAACAATGAACATTACTGTTGCATCTCATCTCTACATTTCAGAGATAATAACCTTGGCATCCTCTGATTACTTTTCGATATGTCTGGTAAAAAGTGGTGATGGCATCCCGTTCATATCTGCTCTGGAGTTGAGGCAGCTCGACAGTGAACTTTACAAAGATGTGAATCAATCAGTCTCCTTACGATTATCGGAAAGGAAGAGCATGGGATTGGATCAAACTATCAGGTAAAAGTTAATTTCTTGTTGTTGTCTACTTGTAACTTCAAACCAGTTGTCACATTCATGCATGAGGAATATCATGGCCTAAGTTGTTGGGAACTTTTCTCAGGTGATCAAGCCGTAGGCAGTAATTATCCTGTAATAATTTGTTCATGCCTTTACTAACTATTTTACCCATGCCATTTCTGTTGGTTTTTAAAGAAGCCTAAGCTCAAATTCAAGCTTGATACTACATACATGCCGTAAATAGATAATTGCTTAAGTCACCACCTCCTTGAGGAATCACACCCAGAACCTCTTCAAGATGAACAGGTAAAACCAAAACCAAGGCCTGATTGGTTATTAGATTTGACGGTTGATATCTAGCTTATAGTGAACATGTTCAGTTGATGCCAGAAGTAGACAAATAATCTGATTGGTTATTGGATTTTAGTGTTGACGTATTCCTTGGTCAACATGTTTAGTTGATTCCAGAGGTAGATGACTAATCTTGAGAATCATTTTAAATTATGTCGTGCCTATTCTTAGTTTATATCACATACCATAGATGTCAAGGTGACGTTATTGGGTTATTGGGTCAATTGTGACATCTATTTCTGTCTCGTTTGATGTTGATTCTGTTTTTAAGGAAGATTTTTTACTTCCAAAATACACTCTCTTTTACACTTTAAAATAAAAAGTTTAAGATGTACTTCCAAATTTCTCCAACTATGAAATTGGACTATGATAAAGTCTTGCCACATCTACTGTTTTAGATCATGCTGCAACATTCCTAGAGGAATCATATGTCTCTTACATTGCAAACTGGAAAAAAGATTCTTTTTTTTTTAATTCTATACTCATAAGGGTTTTGAAACATGTTAAGAAACTTATGCTTTTATCACTAAGGATTATGTTCTATTGTTGAAAGATAGATGCATATATGGTTCCTGAAAGTTCTAGAAAACTATCCAAAATAATCTGTGGGTATTTGACTAGTTTATCATTAAATGTTTGGATAATAGATTTCCAGACGATATCTACGATCGCATTTGGCAGCCAGGGTACACGTCTCGTGCAGCATCCTACTCTCGTGATGTCAGGCGAAATTCGACTGTGTTAACCACTACTGCTGAGCTTGGTTCTGATGATGCTTATAAGGTGCCGTCGGCAATCATGCAGTCGGCTGCTGTTTCATCAGATAACAACACTCTGATACTTAGCCTAAGCAATGGAGATGATGTGGTCATGGCTCCCATGTTTTATGTCTACTTGCACTTTGCTGAACTACGAGCTCCCAAAGGCAATGAGAAGAGTATATTTCAATTGAGAGTGCCCGGCAGCCGACCCAGATTGATCAACATCTCCCTAGAATACTTGGTGGCACGCCACATCCAACTCATTGATCAGGCTAACTCAGATCCAAGCACTTTTTATTTGAATCTGACCAGGGTGCCAGGCTCCTTACCCCCATTGCTCAATGCCATGGAAGCTTATTCCTATGTCGATCTCACAAAAATTTCAACTGATCAGGGAGATGGTATGTACACCTCCTAATTTCTTATTTGACATGATAATCAGAATGGACATAAAACTAGCAAAAGACTTCTGGTTAGGATGGTCCAATTTTTCTCAAAATCAGCTGATCTGCTTGATTATGGCCAATTTCTGATATATATCCAAATTTCCAGGGAATATTGGTTTACCATTTGCCGATCACAATTTGGATCTAAATTTTTAATTTTGGACACAATTATACAAACAAAAAGAAATGTGTGGCTTGTTGGAAACCTATTTCGTTTATATATAGGCACACTTCTGTATTATAGTGTTACACAGACGTTGGCTTTAACGTTTGATACAATATTTTTCTTGTTTAAAGTGACCATGATTAATTTTTCTGAACAACAAAACAATAGTTGATGCTATGATGATGATAAAGAGGTTGTTGTATCACACCGAGTGGCAAGGTGATCCATGCGTTCCTGTGCAATTTGCTTGGAATGAAACCAAATGCTCTTTCCCTATCTCCACACCCCCAAGGGTCACCTCCTTGTAAGTATCTCTTTCACATGGACAATAAAGAACCTAGAAGAGGAATTTAGTCAATGTTCTTTGAGCAACAGGCACTAGTGGTTCACAGAAATTGCTGGCCAAAAATAGTTTCACTATCCAATAATTTTGCAGAGACCTTTTTAATCGGGGACTTAAAGGTGATATCCCAGCTGCTATTGGCAACCTATCAGCCATCACATACTTGTAAGTATCGAGAATTATGAAATCAATAGACCTATATATATACCTTTAATTTTCATATTTGTTTGAGCATGCAATCTATATCCATTATGCTTTGACATGAGTGTAATGATGTGATTAACATCATTAAGATTCACATTTGGTGCTATGAATGATGGGATGTTTGTCCCCAGATTCTGTACGAGGGAGGAATTGAAACCATAAAGCAATACTAATTTTCTTTACCTCTATTGGTCTCAGGGACTTTTCAAGCGATATTATTCCCTATTTTCTCACAAATTAAATATTTTTTATACATAAGAATTCTATTTCAGTATTTCTTACACTTTTTTTGTCTCAGGAACTTATCAAGAAATACCTTCACTGGGCCTATTCCACCATTTCTTGCAAATTTGAACTCACTTCAAACTCTGTAGGAGTTTCCACAAATTCAATTGCCTACTGCTTAATTAATGAATCATTTGTTTGATTGATGGTTCTTTTATTGCAGGGATTTATCAGGCAACCAGCTTGATGGTTCTTTGATTGATGTTTTATGCAACAGACAGGCAAATGGCTCACTCCGGTTGAGGTATCTTTCTCAATTTTCAGTCCATCTTCCAATACCCTAAATCTTTCTCAGTTTATTTATCAAGAAATAATCTAACATTTGATATATGTCAGATTGGAGGACAACCCATGTTATTTTCATGGTATATGTGTTTGTAACAAGAGAAAGCAAAAGTACAGTATTCATGTCCTTGCTATTTCCATCGTTGTAGCAGCAGTCATAGTGATAGTTCTGCTGTCAGTGTTCTTCCTTAGAGGAAGAAGAGGAAAAAAGGAACCATGTAAGTATGCTCCTCTTGTGCTGCTAATCCACCAATTTGTCATTATCCTGCTTCCGAACTACAAAAATGCTTTGTTCACTTGCACTTGCAAACAGAGGGTCGATCACCCATCCTCTTTATCTGGTGAAAGATACTTTTAACGACAGTCAACCCATCCCCCTTTGATGTGCCATGGTTAATCCTTCCGAAATTCCTAATCTTCAAACCTCACTAGTGCACCATCTGTCTCTGTAGGAATATTACTTGAAAGTTCGATGATTGAGAACCTAGAAAGATTTCTCTGAGGTTGGTGTCATTCATGCACTAGCATATCAGCATAGTGTTTCATTGTATCTTGCAAAATATTGGCAGCAATGGAAGCCTTGTTATGTCTTAAAGCTTGTCTTAGCCTCTTTGCCTGTTTGGACCATTCATCATGATCATGTGTGTTATTCAGCAAAGCGACAACCGAAATGGAGGGACACCATAGGCAGTTCCTTCCACACTGGGAGCCCTCATTTCACATACCAAGATCTGAGGACCATCACCAACAACTTTGAGCGGGTCATTGGCAAAGGAGGCTTTGGGACTGTCTACTATGGTCGTTTGCATGATGGCACAGAGGTTGCGGTGAAGATGCAGAAGCGATTTCTTGCAATCGAGGAAGGGATTTCAGAGGACTTTATGACAGAAGAACTTGGTTCTGATTCCCATGGGATAAAGGAGTTCCAGGTTGAGGTAGGCCATTAACACTATACAGAGACTTAATGAGGATTTTTAACTAGTAAATTATCAATACTGAAAGCAGATCATTAGCAAGTAAATTATCTTTCTGTAACATCAGTATTATTTGTAGGCTCAACTCTTATCGAGGGTGCATCATAGAAACTTGGTGGCTCTGGTTGGTTATTGTAAGGATGGTCATTCCCTCGGACTTGTTTTTGAATATGCAGCTCAAGGAAGTCTCAAAGACCATCTATCAGGTGCTAAAGATCTAATGACATTTTCTATTCTATTTCTATTATACTTTGGACTATATCAAATATGCCATTCTTCATAGAGGCTCACCATGCAAGCATTCCTCCTAATAGACTGTAAATTTTTTAAATCCTGTTTACCATGGAAACGTTAATTTCTACTGGAGTATTGACTACTAAATTCTATCTCATTTATAAACTTGAAATTTTAAGTGAAATGATACCGATTAATATTTACCATGATATTATAATGTGAGATCCTAAGTTTTGAGTCTCCATTCTATCTCATTTACTCGAGTCAAGTAGGACTAAATTATTTCATCGGCCCACGCATTAATGGAATACTTGAATATATATATGTAACATCTCATTAGTCCCACATCGGAAGTGGGCAATGTGTATGATTGGCTTATATGGGTCTGATAAGTGTACTACGTTAATTCTTGCTTAAGTATTTTGGTCCGTGGTTGAAGGACCAAAATGGAGTTATTGGCGTTAGCTCATCAGACTCGGGTCGTGACATTTGATATCAGAGCCGACCTAGCATTTGGGCAGGGTGAGAGGGCTCGAGTAGGAAAGGGCTACCCGTGGATGGAGTCAGAGAACTCATCACGGCGGATATGTTGGGCCTTGTGTGCAACATATCCGCCGTGATTGAAGGACCAAAATGGAGTTATTGGTCCCGCTTAAGCATTTTGGTCCGTGGTTGAAGGACCAAAATGGAGTTATTGGCCAGTTGGCTCATCAGACTCGGGTCGGTGAAGGACCAAAATGGAGTTATTGGCCAGTTGGCTTATCAGACTCGGGTCATGACAATATATATATATATATATATAT